ATGGTCAGCACAGTAACCGGACCAGGCAATGTGATGTAGTAATCGCGCGAATTCGCCTTGGCTATAGACACATCTGGCAGGTTAGTGAGGCTGAGCCACTACCAGAATATTCAGATTGTAAACTCTGTGATAAACCTTTAATGCATTCACTAGAACACTATATTGATGAATGTGAAACCGTAAAGGACTTTAGACCTCCTGGCCTATTGTACCACCAACTGTGTAACTATTTTATTGACTCAGGTGTTCTGGACGACATCCTAACAATTTACCCAAAATTTGCTTGTCCATTTTAAAGAATGAAGAACAATTTCTACTTATATTCTAAGCTGTATCACTTATGAACCCATCCCTGCACTTGTGTGGCAGTGCACAATAGAAAGTTGTTTTCACATATCCACACATTAAAACATTGATTGTAACCGTGATATATATGTGCTTCAGCCTACAGTTTAGGCCTATTGTCTTATGTATGACCCTCTGTCCTGCGTGACAGTGAATACTAGCATTAACCTCAATTTAATAAGACTATCAAAATCCTCAGATTAGGCAAAATTGTAATTAATTTTGTCAATAAAGATGTTAATAATAATAAAGCAGCAGCAGCAGGACACAACAGCCAGAGCCAGCAGAAGCAGCAGCAGCAGGACACAACAGCCAGAGCCAGCAGCAGCAGCAGGACGCAACAGCCAGAGCCAGCATCAGCAGCAGGACACAACAGCCAGAGCCAGCATCAGCAGCAGGACACAACAGCCAGAGCCAGCAGCAGCAGCAGGACACAACAGCCAGAGAACCAGCAGCAGCAGCAGGACACAACAGCCAGAGAACCAGCAGCAGCAGCAGGACACAACAGCCAGAGCCAGCAGCAGCAGCAGCAGCAGGACGCAACTGCCAGAGCCAGCAGCAGCAGCAGGACGCAACTGCCAGAGCCAGCAGCAGCAGCAGGACACAACAGCCAGAGCCAGCAGCAGCAGCAGGACACAACAGCCAGAGCCAGCAGCAGGACACAACAGCCAGAGCCAGCAGCAGCAGCAGGACACAACAGCCAGAGCCAGCAGCAGCAGGACACAACAGCCAGAGCCAGCAGCAGCAGCAGGACACAACAGCCAGAGCCAGCAGCAGCAGGACGCAACAGCCAGAGCCAGCAGCAGCAGCAGCAGGCAACAGCCAGAGAGCCAGCAGCAGCAGCAGGACACAACAGCCAGAGCCAGCATCAGCAGCAGGACACAACAGCCAGAGCCAGCAGCAGCAGCAGGACACAACAGCCAGAGCCAGCAGCAGCAGCAGGACACAACAGCCAGAGAGCCAGCAGCAGCAGCTGGACACAACAGCCAGAGAGCCAGCAGCAGCAGCAGGACGCAACAGCCAGAGCCAGCAGCAGCAGCAGGACACAACAGCCAGAGCCAGCAGCAGCAGCAGGACACAACAGCCAGAGCCAGCAGCAGCAGGACACAACAGCCAGAGCCAGCAGCAGCAGCAGGACACAACAGCCAGAGCCAGCAGCAGCAGCAGCAGGACACAACAGCCAGAGCCAGCAGCAGCAGCAGGACAACAGCCAGAGCCAGCAGCAGCAGGACGCAACAGCCAGAGCCAGCAGCAGCAGCAGCAGGCAACAGCCAGAGAGCCAGCAGCAGCAGCAGGACACAACAGCCAGAGCCAGCATCAGCAGCAGGACACAACAGCCAGAGCCAGCAGCAGCAGCAGGACACAACAGCCAGAGCCAGCAGCAGCAGCAGGACACAACAGCCAGAGAGCCAGCAGCAGCAGCTGGACACAACAGCCAGAGAGCCAGCAGCAGCAGCAGGACGCAACAGCCAGAGCCAGCAGCAGCAGCAGGACACAACAGCCAGAGCCAGCAGCAGCAGGACACAACAGCCAGAGCCAGCAGCAGCAGGACACAACAGCCAGAGCCAGCAGCAGCAGCAGGACGCAACAGCCAGAGCCAGCAGCAGCAGCAGGACGCAACAGCCAGAGCCAGCAGCAGCAGGACACAACAGCCAGAGCCAGCAGCAGCAGGACACAACAGCCAGAGCCAGCAGCAGCAGCAGGACGCACCAGCCAGAGCCAGCAGCAGCAGCAGGACGCACCAGCCAGAGCCAGCAGCAGCAGCAGGACGCACCAGCCAGAGCCAGCAGCAGGACGCAACAGCCAGAGCCAGCAGCAGCAGCAGCAGCAGCAGGACGCACCAGCCAGAGCCAGCAGCAGCAGCAGGACGCACCAGCCAGAGCCAGCAGCAGCAGCAGGACGCAACAGCCAGAGCCAGCAGCAGCAGCAGCAGGACACAACAGCCAGAGCCAGCAGCAGCAGCAGCAGGACACAACAGCCAGAGCCAGCAGCAGCAGCAGGACACAACAGCCAGAGCCAGCAGCAGCAGCAGGACGCAACAGCCAGAGCCAGCATCAGCAGCAGGACACAACAGCCAGAGCCAGCAGCAGTACACAACAGCCAGAGCCAGCAGCAGGACACAACAGCCAGAGCCAGCAGCAGCAGCAGGACACAACAGCCAGAGCCAGCAGCAGCAGGACAACAGCCAGAGCCAGCAGCAGCAGGACAACAGCCAGAGCCAGCAGCAGCAGCAGGACACAACAGCCAGAGCCAGCAGAAGCAGCAGCAGCAGGACACAACAGCCAGAGCCAGCAGCAGCAGCAGGACGCAACAGCCAGAGCCAGCATCAGCAGCAGGACACAACAGCCAGAGCCAGCATCAGCAGCAGGACACAACAGCCAGAGCCAGCAGCAGCAGCAGGACACAACAGCCAGAGAACCAGCAGCAGCAGCAGGACACAACAGCCAGAGAACCAGCAGCAGCAGCAGGACACAACAGCCAGAGAGCCAGCAGCAGCAGGACACAACAGCCAGAGCCAGCAGCAGCAGCAGGACGCAACAGCCAGAGCCAGCAGCAGCAGCAGCAGGACGCAACTGCCAGAACCAGCAGCAGCAGCAGGACGCAACTGCCAGAGCCAGCAGCAGCAGCAGGACACAACAGCCAGAGCCAGCAGCAGCAGGACACAACAGCCAGAGCCAGCAGCAGGACACAACAGCCAGAGCCAGCAGCAGCAGCAGGACACAACAGCCAGAGCCAGCAGCAGCAGGACACAACAGCCAGAGCCAGCAGCAGCAGCAGGACACAACAGCCAGAGCCAGCAGCAGCAGGACGCAACAGCCAGAGAGCCAGCAGCAGCAGCAGGACACAACAGCCAGAGCCAGCATCAGCAGCAGGACACAACAGCCAGAGCCAGCAGCAGCAGCAGGACACAACAGCCAGAGCCAGCAGCAGCAGCAGGACACAACAGCCAGAGAGCCAGCAGCAGCAGCTGGACACAACAGCCAGAGAGCCAGCAGCAGCAGCAGGACGCAACAGCCAGAGCCAGCAGCAGCAGCAGGACACAACAGCCAGAGCCAGCAGCAGCAGGACACAACAGCCAGAGCCAGCAGCAGCAGCAGGACGCAACAGCCAGAGCCAGCAGCAGCAGCAGGACGCAACAGCCAGAGCCAGCAGCAGCAGGACACAACAGCCAGAGCCAGCAGCAGCAGGACACAACAGCCAGAGCCAGCAGCAGCAGCAGGACGCACCAGCCAGAGCCAGCAGCAGCAGCAGGACGCACCAGCCAGAGCCAGCAGCAGCAGCAGGACGCACCAGCCAGAGCCAGCAGCAGCAGCAGGACGCAACAGCCAGAGCCAGCAGCAGCAGCAGGACAACAGCCAGAGGCAGCAGCAGCAGCAGGACGCACCAGCCAGAGCCATCAGCAGCAGCAGGACGCAACAGCCAGAGCCAGCAGCAGCAGCAGGACGCAACAGCCAGAGCCAGCAGCAGCAGCAGGACGCAACAGCCAGAGCCAGCAGCAGCAGCAGGACGCAACAGCCAGAGCCAGCAGCAGCAGGACACAACAGCCAGAGAGCCAGCAGAAGCAGCAGGACACAACAGCCAGAGCCAGCAGCAGCAGGACACAACAGCCAGAGCCAGCAGCAGCAGGACAACAGCCAGAGCCAGCAGCAGCAGCAGGACGCAACAGCCAGAGCCAGCAGCAGCAGCAGGACGCAACAGCCAGAGCCAGCAGCAGCAGGACACAACAGCCAGAGCCAGCAGCAGCAGGACACAACAGCCAGAGCCAGCAGCAGCAGCGGGACGCACCAGCCAGAGCCAGCAGCAGCAGCAGGACGCACCAGCCAGAGCCAGCAGCAGGACGCACCAGCCAGAGCCAGCAGCAGCAGCAGGACGCAACAGCCAGAGCCAGCAGCAGCAGCAGGACAACAGCCAGAGGCAGCAGCAGCAGCAGGACGCACCAGCCAGAGCCAGCAGCAGCAGCAGGACGCAACAGCCAGAGCCAGCAGCAGCAGCAGGACGCAACAGCCAGAGCCAGCAGCAGCAGCAGGACGCAACAGCCAGAGCCAGCAGCAGCAGCAGGACGCAACAGCCAGAGCCAGCAGCAGCAGGACACAACAGCCAGAGAGCCAGCAGCAGCAGCAGGACGCAACAGCCAGAGCCAGCAGCAGCTGCAGGACGCAACAGTCACAGCTCAGAGTGCCTAAGGAAGATCTCCCCAGTGCATCATCGTGGTCAGCAGTGTGACGACACACTGTGTCAAGCTCGAGTAATGTTACAGTGGTAGAGGAAAGTCATTTAAAACTTTTCCTCGCATGATTATTCAAAAATATGATAATTCTGTCTTCTTCTGGTTCAAGAACTGGGTCCCACGAGAGGCCACGAGACGTCACGTCGACAAATTTAATTCCGGTTTCAATATCAGTCAGAGTTGAGATGCCTCATTGAACACGAATTTTGCTTATTTTCCCTTTCTAATTTCCCCTTTTGGGAGTTTGTTCCCACCAACAATGCCCAACTACTTGGGGTGGACGGTAGAGCGTCATGCAGGTCGGCGTTCAATCCACGACCGGCCAAGTGGTTGTACACTATTTCTTCCCCCCGTCCCATCCCTAATCCTTATCCTGACCCCCCCTCCCGTCCTTGTGCCTCCATGACTCATCACCGTCACGAGACAGGGATTGTTATACGAGGATTGGAACACACGCGACGGAGATTGGAACACACGCGACGGAGATTGGGGGACACGCGACGGAGATTGGAACACGCGCGACGGAGATTGGGACACGCGCGACGGAGATTGGGACACGCGCGACGGAGATTGGGACACGCGCGACGGAGATTGGGACACGCGCGACGGAGATTGGGACACGCGCGACGGAGATTGGAACACGCGCGACGGAGACTGGGACACGCGCGACGGAGACTGGGACACGCGCGACGGAGACTGGGACACGCGCGACGGAGATTGGGACACACGCGACGGAGACTGGGGCACACGCGACGGAGACTGGGGCACACGCGACGGAGATTGGAACACCCGCGACGGAGATTGGGACACCCGCGACGGAGATTGGGACACGCGCGACGGAGACTGGGACACGCGCGACGGAGACTGGGACACGCGCGACGGAGACTGGGACACGCGCGACGGAGACTGGGACACGCGCGACGGAGACTGGGACACGCGCGACGGAGACTGGGACACGCGCGACGGAGACTGGGACACGCGCGACGGAGACTGGGACACGCGCGACGGAGACTGGGACACGCGCGACGGAGACTGGGACACGCGCGACGGAGACTGGGACACGCGCGACGGAGACTGGGACACGCGCGACGGAGACTGGGACACGCGCGACGGAGACTGGGACACGCGCGACGGAGACTGGGACACGCGCGACGGAGACTGGGACACGCGCGACGGAGACTGGGACACGCGCGACGGAGACTGGGACACGCGCGACGGAGACTGGGACACGCGCGACGGAGACTGGGACACGCGCGACGGAGACTGGGACACGCGCGACGGAGACTGGGACACGCGCGACGGAGACTGGGACACGCGCGACGGAGACTGGGACACACGCGACGGAGACTGGGACACACGCGACGGAGACTGGGACACACGCGACGGAGACTGGGACACACGCGACGGAGACTGGGACACACGCGACGGAGACTGGGGCACACGCGACGGAGACTGGGGCACACGCGACGGAGACTGGGGCACACGCGACGGAGACTGGGGCACACGCGACGGAGACTGGGGCACACGCGACGGAGACTGGGGCACACGCGACGGAGACTGGGGCACACGCGACGGAGACTGGGGCACACGCGACGGAGATTGGGACACACGCGACGGAGACTGGGACACACGCGACGGAGACTGGGACACACGCGACGGAGACTGGGACACACGCGACGGAGATTGGGGCACATACGACGGAGATTGGAACACCCGCGACGGAGATTGGGACACACGCGACGGAGACTGGGACACACGCGACGGAGATTGGGACAAACGACCAATATGCCTGCTGGTCTCCTAAGGAGTTATTTCCATGTACAGGATTGGAACCAGTCGCCTCTAGGATTTCCCTCCTGTAAGTCAATATGTATTTCTCTCGTTTGACTCTAGGGAATACAGATTTAACATTTTAGTCGGTCCCCCAAAATTTAGACGTTATATTAAGTCGATTCCAGAGGTAAATGACCTTTGCAAACACATTTGCAAATTTGTTCTTTTTGTTCATTTTGGTCCTGGTTGTTGCAGGTCAGGGATTTGTTCATTTTAACTTTGCACGTTCTAGAGGTCAGTAATTTCTCCAGTTTTGAATTGGGGGGTTGTTAAGTGTGCAACAATATTCCACTCTAGGAGATCACTAATGTCTTAAAATGTATCAATGGGATGGAGTCCCTTGTGTGGAAGGTTGTTATTATCCAACCTGTTATTTTTCTTGCAGTCGTGACGGCTACTTTATGGTGTTCTCTACAGGTTATATCTTCCCACATGATTACGCCCAGTTCTCAACATTGCTGTCTCCTTCTATGATGGGATTTGACCGTGTTTTTGTGTTTTCCTTTTTTATCTTTTTTCCGTAGCATTATGCTAGAACTTTTAATAACAAGTTATTTTCTGTCTCCCTTAAAAGAATTTATTAACATTAGTTTGGAGGTTTTCCGTGTCCTCTATGTTGTCTACTCTCATAAAAATCCTAGTGTCATCTACAAAGGATGATACTGTACTATAGGTTGTGTCCTTGTCTATGTCCAATATGAGGATGAGAAAAAGTACTGGAGCAAGCACAGTACCCTGGGGGACTGAGCTCTTCACGGTTGATGGTCCAGATTTTATTTTGTTCACTACCTTACTTTACCTTTGATGGGGTTCTAGGAGTTCCTCTATTTTGACTTGTGAGAGCTTGGTCCACCAGGCTGTTGCTTGGAGCGGCCCGCAGGCCCACATGTCTTCCACAGCCCGGTTGGTCCGGCAGTTCTTGAAAACAATCAGTTTTCTCTGGAAGATGTCCATGGTTTTTGCACCATCCTACTTTAAGTGTTATTCCAATTGACCATGGGCCAGATTCACGAAGCGGTTACGCAAGCACTTACGAACGTGCACATCTTTCCTCAATCTTTGACGGCTTTGGTTATATTTATTAAACAGTTTACAAGCATGAAAACTTCCCAATCAAGTGTTATTGTAATAAACAGCCTCCTGGTGCTTCGGAGCTTATTAACTGTTTAATAATTGTAAACAAAGCCGCCAAAGATTGAGAAAAGATGGTCAGGTTCGTAAGTGCTTGCGTAACTGCTTCGTGAATCTGGCCCCATATTTTGTGTGCTATCACGCCATGGTCACATTTATCGAATGCCTTTGCGAAGTCCGTGTATACCACATCTGTATTCTGTTTTTCTTCTAATGCCTCAGTGATTTTGTCGTAATGGTCAAGTATCTGTGAGAGGCATGATCTTCCCGCTCTAAATCCATGTTGGCCTGGGTTGTGGAGGTCATTGGTCTCCATGAAACTAGTGACCTGACTCCTGATCACTCTCTCAAATACTGTGGGACACAAATATTATGTGGGACGTTAGTGCAACTGGTCTTTATTTCTTTGCCAATGCTTTGCTCCCTCCCTTGTGTAGAGGGGCAATGTTTGCTGCTTTCAGGGCATCGGGTATCTCTCCCGTGTCCAAGCTCTTCCACCACACTATACTGAGTGCCTGTGCTACTGGCACTTTGCATTTCTTTATAAATATTGAATTCCATGAGTCTGGACCCGGGGCTGAGTGCATGGGCATGTTGTCAACTGTTGATATGTTGATCACTTCACACACAGAGATCACAATAACGTGATGTATCAAATGAACAAATCTACATTTATTTTTGGTTCCGCTGCCCGTTATTTTTGGTTCTTCTCTTCGTCTTCTCCGTTATTTCTGCGTTTTCAACGTTTGTCCTCTTTCTGGCTTTCCGCGAAGGAACATGTTTGAAACAAACTTTGTATGCTTCGGAAGTCATTTGTTCTTTTACATTATTACACTTTGGGTTTTGTTCGTTTGGAAATTAAAGATACATCTCCCAACTTTGCCAGTAAGTCCCCTTTTGTGCGCATTTTATGACCACCACCATCACCACCATCTTGAGGTTATCTTGAGATAATTTCGGGGCTTAGCGTCCCCGCGGCCCGGTCCTCGACCAGGCCTCCTTTTTGTTACACACCCTCAGGAAGCAGCCCGTAGCGGCTCTCTAACTCCCAGGTACCTATTTACTGCTAGGCAACAGGGGCATCAGGGTGAAAGGAAGATTTTGGACATTGTCTCCGCCTCCACCCAAAATCGAACCCGGAACCTTAGGACTACGAATCCGAAGCGCTGTCCACTCAGCTGCCAGGTCCCTAGAAGCTCATGATCCCTTACAAACTGTTAACTCGCACACCAATTCAAACCACCACCTTAAGACAGTGGCACCGTACCTCCATCCCTCCTATACAAGGTGGGAAGCAGCCTGCTTCACCACGGGCTCACCATAGCCCGTGCTACATGGAC